GCAGTCTTGGAGCAAGCAGCCGCACTTGCTCCAAGCCTCCCGCCTGTATTATGAAGACTGACGTTGCTTCAGCTCCAAGCAGATTGGCATCTTTTGTGCGCCTTAGCGCTCCTCTAATGGATTTCTTCTTGAACACACCTCGCTGGAATTCAGTCACGGATGCAACATCCTGCCCAGTGCAGCCATGTCTTGCTGAGGTTCAAACTATGTCTAGCAATGTGCATTTCATTGTGGGGCAACACTTTGCAAAGCGGTCCGCCCAATAGATTGCACGCCACACGCTCCAAGCTCCCCGTCTTGTCTTACAAAGAGAATTTCTTCAGCTGCCGCCTGACATATTTAAGGCTTCTTAGCAATGCCCTCCTGCGCGCTCCCGTGGGCATAGCTCATTGAATCTAGTCAAAGACAGTTATGAAGAGACAGCGGCCCGGCGAGCCACCTGCCACGGCCGCGCTCCTCGCCCTTCTGACCAGCCTGCGCTGCACGCCTGCTGCGCTTGAACCGGGCGGGGGGGGCCATTATTGGCGTCTGGCACACAGCACGCAAGAACATGCTCAATCGCGAAAAGGCCAGGCATAAAGCCCCAACCCGGCGCCGCAGGAGGGCGAGACCCCAAAAGACGGCTTGCGGCCACCAAGAGAAAGGCAAAATAAGATGCTAAAAAGGACCTTGAACAACAGAAAAAGGGCCAACAGGGCTTTGAGGCGCACATCTCGCTTGTTCTGTCCTGTGGGCCATGCAAGGATGAAAAGTCTCAGGTTTCGAGTTCTTGGGATTGCAAGTTTTGATGCTGGTGAAGCTTGCGATTTTCTTTGTGGCATGTGGGGGCCAGTGGCTGCTGGGCTTGGCCATGATTTTGGGAAATGCTATTATTGTAGGGGGTCGCCACTTTCTGACAAGCTGAGTACTTGGGATTGCAAGTTTTGATGCAGCTGCTGGTGAAGCTTGGGATTTTGGATTTCGAGGTTTGGAGTTGGGAATGTGGGAGCCAGTGGCGCAAAAAGATCTCTCTTGCAGCTTTGTGACTGCTTCATTCATTCACTAGTAAGTTAGGAACAAGTTTCTTTAGTTGTGGGGGGGTGGTTAATGTAGGTAGGTGAGTTGAGTTGAAGTGAGGTCAGGAAGGACACTGTCAAATTCGGTTGGCCTGGTGAGTTTCAAATTGCTTTAATATTGACTCAATTGGCAGCAGGTCGGGGCCTGGCAACAAATTTCTTAAATTCTGGGGAGGGTTCTGGCGCTTGGATTACCATGGAGTCGAGAGCAGTAAATTATTTTTTCTTGGGCCATTTACTTCATCAGAGGTGAGTGGGAGTAGTCAATTCATGGAACGGGGTAGGAAGACCAGCAGTTGGGGGTTTGTCAAGGAAGTCAGTTGGGTACCGAAAGCTAGCTGTGCGACACAGCAATTCACATGCCTGCTGGTGCTCAGCAGGGAATGAGGGAATGACGCCCTATAAACCATTTATTTTGTGGTTTCCTTCCTGGGTTCATCCCTCATTTTGGGAGGCCCCGACCCGAAAAATGCAGGAGATCCTTGCGGTGAATCAGGCCTGGGCAGGGCACAGCGGCAGCCCCTTCAAGCAGGACGGAGTCAAAGGGCGGGCATGTTTGGTGAGTTTGATGCTTTGGTTCGGTTTGTTGGTTTGTTGGTTTGTTGGTTTAGTTGTTTGGCGGTTTGGTGCTTTGGTGGTTTCATGGTTTGGTTTGTTGGATGAATAGTCTTGGTTTGTGGGTGTATTTCTATTTGTTGCTTGTTGGCTTGCTGGCTTTGATTGTTTAGTGGCTGTATGTTTATTGGCTGTACACAGGCAATCAGAAGGACCCGTCCTTGTGTTCCAAAAGGAATTTGCGCCCATGTGCCATTGTTGTGGTTTTCACCCTTGAGGGCGCCCTTCCACCTACACCTTTGTAAGGGGAACCAAAGGGAACTTACCAACTCTGGGGCCCAGGCCAACCGCACCGTGCAGCTGCCGGATTACTTCATGCGCATCCAAGGTGTCGTCGTGCCATACAAGGAGCAGGCGGACACAACGGGCAGAATAGATGAAGGCTGTCGCAGGTGGTTTGTGCGTGTGGATGTGTGTGTGTGTGTGTTTTGCTTGGTGACATGCATTTTGCATGTCGGCTGCTCGCTTGGTGGCTTGCGACTTGTGTGTTGAGCTTGTTTTGTCGGGTTACTTGACCATGTGACCAAAGACAAAAGGCATCTTGCAATAGCGCACCCTCGTGAACAGCCCTCCAAAGACCCGCAAACTGTTGAGGCATTGGGCCAAGCAAGCCTCCAAGCCTGAGGAGTTCTTATGGCTTTCCGGCCTCTGGGGTGCTGGCCTCAACATGAGGTGCACAGCTGGCAGTTCTTCTACAAGCCCGTGGGTGACAACAAGGTCGCAGTGCTCCTCATGAACCACGCGACTTGCCCGACTTGGGCCGAAGGCTTTGCAGGCCAACACCCGTAGCCTATGGCTTAAACAAGCTCCTTCGGCTTCCTTTGGACAAAATGGCCCCGCCCCAGTTTGCACGGATGCGTTCGCACAGTGTCACAGTTGGCTCACTTTGGGGGCGGTTCCCAACAGTTTCCTTTGCAGACAGAGGTCACCAATCCATTTTTTGAGTGTAGTGACTATTGAGTGCATCAGTTGAATGTACCCAGTTGTGTGATGTGTGTGTGTGTGAGTGTGTGTGTGTGTGTCTGCTGCTTTCTTGATACCCTTTTGATTGAACATGCAGGGCCTGCTTGTAGGGGTGTCTTGGCTTGGGGGCGGTGAAAAGGACAGAGCACTGCTCACTCAACATGTTTTCACTTGGCTGGTTGCGGCTCTGGCCAGTTGCCAATGGTTGTGGGAACGCGGTGTCGGGTTTGCACTTTCTGCCCTACCCTCGGAACATTTCAACATCACGTGACAACAGCAGTTGATTACACGCCGTCTTCCAACAACCGCGGGCGTGGACAAAGTGGATAGGAGGCGGCATTCTTTCAACCCCTCGTTTTCGCTTCCAGGGGGGTAGCGGTTTTGGCGTGCATGGACGTCCTTTCGGAGGGTACCCAAACGGAGGTTTTCTTCACGAAGTCGTTTTGCTCAGCCGAAGGCCGACCTGTCACTTGTGGTTTTCCTGATGTGATACTTGTTTTCTGGTCCTTTGGCAAGTGAGTTTGGGTTCTGTCGATGATTTTGCAAGCGGGTCCACCCCAAACCCCAGACGAGCCACGTGCTCAAAACCCGGGTAGATCAAGGTTAGTAAGGGATAGTCCCAACCGCAAATGAGTGCCTGCCTTGTTTTTTTTTTCATGATTCTGGGTTCATTTTAGTACCCATCGCTTTGATTATGATACAAGTGGCTGTGGCAACTACAACCTTCGTAACCCCAGCTCTTTATTGTTAAGCCATACCCAAGCGACTTTGGGTTCATTCCGTTCGGAGCGGGTGCGCTGCTCCGCTCGGTGCAGCGCTGAGGACACCGCGGCGCAGGATTTGGTCCTCAACTTTTCGGAGGTGCCGGGCCTGAAGTGCCAGCAGCTTGCTTCGAAACAAGATTTTGTGCTTTTGTTGGTGTGTTTTTTGGGGGTGTTCACCCTGGTAGTGAGCTTTTTGCTGAGCTTTTTGCGCGTTTTCTTCGAAGTCTTTTTTTTGGGGGGACCTGGCAGTGAGCTTTTGCGCGTTTTCTTCGAATCAAGAGTGTGCTGTTTTTTTTGGACCTGGTAGTGAGCTGTTTGCGCATTTTCTTCCAATCAAGATTTAGGTTTGTTTTTTGGGGGGGGACAATCTGGTAGTGAGCAGTTTGCGAGTTTGGAGGCTTCCAGTCTTTCCATGGGTCAGCCATGTCAGTTGCACTTGATCTAGCACATACAGAAGAAACATCTTTAGAAAACCAGAAGAACTACAAACACCCGAGAAGCACCAACACGCAAGAGAACAGCAAAAGGACACCATGATTTAGAAACTCTGTGGTGCACCACCCATGTTGAAAGAGTTCTGGACACCTGTGTTTTGGGTTTTCTCAAGTTGTTTTTGGTGTTCGTTCCTCGAGTTTGTTTTGTTTTCCTCATTATGTGGGGTTTTCTGTTGTTTTTGATGGGTCTACTTTTGTTCCTGTTTTTTTTTTTTTTTTTTTTTTTTTTTTTTTTTTTTTCGTTGCCTAGGCAAATTGGAAAACATTGTAGCTTGTCTTTCCTTTTTATATCATTTAGTCCAATTGAAAGTTCTACTTCAAAGGAGTTCCTATGTCAAATGAATTACATTAAGAACTCTAACTAATTCCTCTTGAACATCCTCTGATACAAGTGTAAGAAGTCGGTTTAATCTTACCAGCAGAAACAAACAGCTTGTCTATCCTTTTCAGACTCTATTTCTAAAATCTATTCACAATCCTAGATACTTGACAACGCATTCCTACTTAGAATATGGCTCACGAAGAACACAGTTGAATTTCGCAGAAGAAACAAGCAGCTTGTCTTTCCTTACTAGGTTCTGGTTGAATGATGTTAAGTTATGGTCATGGGTTCCTATTTTAGAGTTGGAAGTAACTTCTGTTAAAATTCCCAGTCAGAATATGAATTCCATGTAAACTCTAATTCAGCTCATATGTGCAAATATAATTTCCGATTTATTACATTTGAATTAAACTAAGAGCTCTCACTAAACTTCAAGTGAAATCCTACTTGGAAGGGACGTACTATTCAAAATCTATTTAAACATGAGCATTTGCGGTGAGTTCTAATAAAAGTCCCATTCAAACTGAACGCCTTTGAATTTAAAACTTGGAAACCAATTGAAGTATACTTTGCATTGTCCACGGGTGTTTGCTGGTTTGTCACTCCTTTTGAGGAGCTTGAAAATTAGAAGAAACAGCAAGCTTGTTTCTCCGTTGTTTTTTTCCAAATCCCAATTAAAGTCCTACTCGGAAAGGAAGCCCTAGTGAATTCTAATAGAAATCTGATGTAAACTTAAAGCGTGGCAGTTTGATGCTCGCAGACCGTTAGAACTCAAGTTACATTTTCCTGGCGTTTCCAACAGTTGTTCACTCCTTTCAAGGGGCAGGCAAATTAGCAGAAACAACAAGCTTATCTTTCCATACTGAAATCTATTGAATTCTAATTCAACTCTAATGCCAAACAGGAATGAAAGACTGATGCTAAGAGAATTGCAGCTACCCTGGCTTGAATGAGCAGCAACAATTAACAGCATGTTACAACAATCAAACATAGAGGACACCGTTCAGTGATTCGGTCATCGCCGTTGGTAGATATCACTTCTCAAACCTGATCAATAGTGACGAAAACATGTGCAACTGCAGAATAATTATTCATGTACGTCTCTCCAGAAAGTACAGCCAGGCCAGAATGGATTAAGAATACATATACAGATACAAGCACTCTTCAGCAAAGCAATCGTACAACTTGCTCAAGATATCAACCTCAAAATCACAAACATGTGCAGTACCACCGTCGCAAAGAAAAGTGGTTGGTTTCCTTCTGGTGCTCCTTTAAAACGAAACCGAAAAGGTATCCTCAAAACAAGACACGCCCATATTTTTCTCTTTCGATGTCGCTTCCGTGTTGATTCCAGAGACCCACGTTGTTCACATCTAATTCGCATCGGGATCTGATCTCCCCCATTTGACCTTAGGTCGAACGGGGTTCGTGGATTCCAGAAAGTGCTATCCTTTTTCAGTGGGCCTCCCAGTGAACATGAGGCCAACTCTGAAAAGACGTGGTACCCTTCGTTTCGTTTCGCAACTGAAGATGGGTTTGGTTCCATTTGGAGGCCAAGATCCGGTGATCAGCTTTGATTTCCGAAGCGAATCCATCGTCCGAGGAAATGCCAGGTGCGGTGCTTGTTCAAACACAAGGACCTCGGGAGTCACGAGACCTCCTTCACATCCAAGTCGGTGGCATCCCATGACTCTCGCATGTTTCTGCTGTCGGACGCCAGCGTGGAGTTCGTTTATGCATGAGACCGAAAGGTTGAGCCTGAGCCCCGCCATCCCAGACCCTTGTACTGTTTCTTTGTTTCAAGGGTTTCCCAGACCTCTATAAAAATGTGTTTTGCTTGTTTCAAGGGTTTCTCTTTAAAACCAACTAGCAAGACCAGGAATGCTGGGGGGGCTTCGGTTTGTTCCTTCTGCGTGGCAGCCAGCGGTCCAGGCGGCATATTTGTCCAAGTGCCCTTTTGTGGACCGCGCCTTATGCACTCAGCTCACTGGCAAGGATTTCAAATGGCAAAAAAGCTGAGGGGCCCGGTCCGAATCCCATGTCGAAGGTGCAAATCCCATGTTGAGACATATACACATATTTGAATTGGCGCATTTTAGAGAAACTGCACACCTCATGAGACATATGTTTATGTTTATTTATATATATATATGTATATGTGGCGCCTTTGAATTGTTTGGAGAAAGCATAAAATATATTTAAAAAAAAAAAAAAAAAAAAAAAAAAAAAAAAAAAAAAAAAAAAAAAAAAAAAAAAAAAAAACATGCATGGTTGCAAACACTCCCTCGTTGCTTCAAGGCAGTGGGGATGGTAGGAAAGTCATTCGGGGCTCCGCGTCGAGGCCTTGAAAGCCTTCGAAGACCCCGACGGTTTGCGGTGCGCGTGTCCGGGCCTGGGAGGATTTTTTGCGTCGATTTGGCGCCGCCGGCGGCTTGGCCGGGCCAAGTGTCCACCACTTGGGCCCGGAAAAAGTCCGACAAGAATCCAATGACACTTAGTTCTTGATGTTCAAAAAGATGTGGAGTGGCAGAGCTATGGTGGCTGTTTGTGGTAGTGTTGCTTTTCTGGAATCAGAGCGCAACTTGCACTCTTCGAAAGAAAATGCGAAGGCCTCAATGGAAAACCTTGGTTCTTGCATGGTTCTTTCCAGTGGCACGGCGTGAATGATATTTGCTTGTTGGGCGCATGCTTCGCAATGCCTTTTTGAGAAGTCCAGAAGTCTGTTTGACAGCGCACCACGTCGGCATTCTCAGGGCGCCCGGATGGTGGCCAGCTGTGCGGGGGCGCCCGGGTGTTAGGAGTCCAACTAAGTTCCCTAAAGTGGTTGCAGTTTGAGGGCTTAAACATACTAATGCAGGGTGGGACTCAGCGGAGCAGGGTTCCACCCTTTGAATTCCCCAAGATCACATACACCAGGAGTTCTACTTTTGGGGAAAGCACCACCCTGGGTTCAAGTCTACCCTGGAATCATCTTGGAGGGGCACTTTTGTGTGCCGAGCCGGTAAGGGTACCTTTCGTCTTGTGTTCGAAACTTGGCCGATCCTTGTGACAGCTCCGTTTGGCATGGGACTTGGAAAAAATGGCTCCACTTCAGCTTTGGGAGCTACACCTTGAAACCCTTCGCAAATTCATGGCACTCAAATGCGCTCCAGCACAGCGAGCCGCCCAGATCGAGCTGTGAAAGCTTCATGTTTGGACATACTTGCTAAGCTACACACGAGCGACCATGAGCTGAGCATGTTTCGGGGCGACTTTTGAACCACACCGGCTGCCAAGCCATGGGGGGGTTCGGCGAAGAAGTTGTTGAGTTCTGCAGATAGCGTCTTGAGCCTCACTTTCTCAGTTAGACCTTGAACTTCTTGGAAAGACCATGTTAGTGGAAAATACACGGTTTGGGTTTTTTGGGGTAGCCCACTCGATTGGAAGTGGAAGCAGCACATAGATATTGCGTTAGGCAAGGGCATATCTGGAACTGGTATGAACAGCTGAGGCTGGAATCCGGCGGCCGAAGAGCAGGCAAGAGGGTTGGGTCTGGACTTGTTAGCACCTATTTGCATACGTTGATATGTGTTCGTTTCCGCACTGGGGTGACGGACCATATATCTTTTGTTGGTTAAGGCTCACGCCAATGTTAGCCCAAAACCAGCTCGCTTGAGAAGGAGCCCTTGGCCCAAAGTGGAAGCGATGATTTGATCCAAGTCGGCGAGGGAACTCAGAGAGATCCTGTTTTGCACAATCAAGAAGAGACTGGCAACGAGGTAAATCAAACCGGCGGCTACTAACACGGCTGTGTGTGTGTTTTTGCGGGAAGCCGGCAAAGCATTTTGCCGGCTGGATGAGACGAACCGTTGCTGCGTTATTCGCAACAGGCAAAGTGAAGTGAAGAGTTACACCTCTGGCAACTGACGTTAGGAACTTGCAGGTTGCACCAGGTTTGGACCCTGGCTGAGTTGGCCGTGGCGCTGAAATGCACCAAAGAAGGCCCAGACAGATTTCAGGGTGACCTTGGGGAACAGTCGCCCAGTCCCTGTTTCAGGGTCCCAATGCGCCCGAGTTTGCTTGGTTCATGTTTCACCTTGCTTGCAATGATGCAGGGAGCTTCCTACGGTCGCCCAGTTTGTACTTCTGATTTTTCTGAGGAGATGACATTACCTTGGCGGTTCCCAGCCGTCCCCTTAGGGCCTTAGGGATTCATGTTCTCAGGGTTTAGTGGGGTGAGGGTTCCACTTGACCCGCTAAAAGCTACAGCTTGTAGCAGGGGATCTGAGGACCCAAAATTCGTCCAAGCTTCATTTCATGTCTTGGCTGTCTTGCCTGAGTCCTTCCTTCCCCAGGTTTAACAGAGGTCATGGTCGATTTGTCATGTTAACCCAGGGAATCCTGTTTCAGCTGGGGCTCTGAATGTGATGGGGAGCTGGCCCAGATCATGCGTCCATTGTAGGGAGCCAGCGAAGAAGTCAAAACCTGGATCTAGAAAAGCAAGAGGGTTACCCGCTATAGAGGTAACTGGAAGCACTGGGCTACGGCTGGTTCCATCACTACAAACCCCCGTTGCAGTTGCTCCTTGTCCCTTGGATGGGATTTCCTCTATCAACCAACCAACAAAAGCATACACATGCTAGGAAACTGGGTTTAGGCTCGAATCACAATATGTTTGCCCTAGAATCAAGCATTCCTAGAACCCAGTTGCCCAAACTCGACCTTTTAACCTTGTGTTTTTGAACTTTGGCCTATTTTCAGAAAGATTCCCAGAAGGTTAACCTTTTGTTTCTGAGGCCTTTGGGCAAGTGAGAGAATCGAGTCCAGGTTTCCCCCCCGAGCCCATCAGGTGGTGGGGGCATCGCGCCAAGTCCTCGCCTCCAATGTGGGCATGCGAGGCCAGTGGATGGGTTGAGGGTCTGGGTTCACATTGTTTGTTGTTTTTGTTTTTAGGTGTTTGGTTTGGCTTGTTGTATTTTTATGTGTTTAGGTTTGGGCTCAGTTTCCGTTTTTGACCATATCTTTGGGATTTTGTTGCTTTAGGCTAGGGTTAAGGTTCAGGCTTAGGTTCGGCCGGCCAGTGGTGCAGGGTCTCCGGTCATCGGTCGGTCGGTCATTCGGTCATCCCCCTTGTTGGCTGCAGGCCTGCTACGGCTTATACAAGTGTAAAGACAGGTTTGAACTGTCGCGTGTGTGGTTTGGAGCAAAGGAGTCCTTTCTGGTCAGTTTGGTGGAGCACCAGATGGCACTATCCGCAAACTTACTGTACTCAGGCGGCGCCGTAAAGAAGCACCCCCGAATCCGAAGGTAACTTTGAGAACATCATCTCCACCTACCCTCCGGTCCATGGAGCCCACAAAATCCTAGACAAGCCTAGCTTCCGGGACTTCGCAAGGTTTGGACGGGAGGCTACTTGAACTCCTTAAAAGATCTCCATTTTGCCCATCCATTTGAAACCATGTGGCTTTTTTCAACACCAAACTAAAAGGGACACCATTTTACAAGTTGCAATGTTCAGTCAGGTGTTTTTCATGTAAGGATCCCTGTTTCGGGACCTGAAGTCCCAGCCCCTTCTCTTCCAGGCCGAGGGCCCCCCCGTTTTCGAGGCGCGGAGCGGAAGTTCCGCTTCGACTTCCGGGTGAACTCCGGCAGCGCGGCAGATGCCGCCCCGCTGCTCGAGGCGTTTCGGCGTTTCGGGACCTCGGGGAAAATCCACGCGGGAGAATTTGCGACAATCCGTCGGCGTTTTCCACTTTGCTTTCCCCCCCAACAAAAGGATTTCGGAGGAAAAAAAGACAGCCACACAGACACACACATGGGGTCATGCGGGCTTCCCTTGAAAAACAACCCTTCACGCAACCGACAAGATGCTACCGGCAATGCAGGTGTTTTGCCTCAAAGGCTAGCTGTGCCGACGCTATTACCCAGTGCAGGGGGACAACGGAACCGGTGGCAGCTTAGGAGTTTCAGGAGGCTTGCTGGAATGCTCGCAGTTGCTGGTAGCGAGCAGGGCTTCCTGGGGTACTCCAGCCGAGAGGAGTTGTTTGGTTTCCTCTCGCTACGAGCAAAGTTTGTTGCCCGACAGTCGGCCCGCAAGGGTGCAGCCGGCAACGGTCCAAGCCGCCCGAAGACAGTAACAGCCAAGGTAAGGCTTTTAGACCTACTGTACTCGGTTTCCAGATTAAACACTTTGAATGTTAAGCCTTTGCATCGCAGGAAGCCAGACTGGCAATGATTAAGACCAACGCAGCTCCTGTGCAACAGGTATGCATACATTGCAACCCTTATGAAACACATTGCCTGGTACGTACGTTGGTCCTCCGAGAGTCGTGTTTTGGGCTAGCCTGCTGAGATCTCCGGCCCTGTTCTTCCAGGTCTCCATAACGGCTTTTCTTCTCGAATCGGCGGAGCCTGTCCGTTGATTTCTGAATAGGCCACTTTGCATTGGTCTTGCTAGGCAAGGTTCGCGCGCAGGTTGCGCAACCAAGCCTGTTTGTTCAAAGGGCATGTCTTGCCCTTTGAACCAATTGGTTGGAGAGAGAACACGTTCCCGTTCCACTAACATGGCACAGGGGTGTCCTTCAAGGCTATTCCAGCTGCCCTCCTGGTTCTCAGTTTTGTTTAGTGAATGACCCCAAAGTTTTCCATCTGGTGGCTTCTGAGGCGATGCGGCATCCCCCTAAAGGCTTTGTTGGTCAGGGCCCCGATATGTCATTTAAAGTTTTAAAAAGCCTCCTTTCGTGCTGCAAGCAGAAAAGAAAGT